TTCCCTCTGGCAATCCCTAAATTGCGTTTTTCCTCCGGTAATCCCTGAATTGATTTTTTTTTTCCCTCCTCTGGTACCCCCTGAATTGTTTTTGTGTGATGTTTGAGGCCTGGCTGGGGGATTTCTCTGCAATTCCTCCCAGGGATCTGAGCCTGCAGAACTGGGATGTCCCAATGCTGCCAAACCTGCTCCAGGCTGGTTCAACACCCCTTAACCCCTGCTGGGCTCGCTTTTAATCCCAATTTTCCAAAATAAAACTCCCTGGCACAATGAGCACATGACTAATCTGTTAATCACCAGCCGTGGAAATATTCCTTAATTACCCCTCCTTAATGAGCAAGCTCCACGTCAGCCCTGCCCTGGGTGCAGAGGGTTAAAATCCAGCCCGGAAATGAAAATGAAAATAAAAATTAAAATCCTGCTGGGATGAGCAAGCATTCATTTGCACTCACTCACCTGTGGGAGGAAGGAACCTGCAGCTGCTCCTGGCATCGCTCTGGAATAAAAATTCCTGGGGTTTTTTTGGGGTTCTCTTCCTCTTCTGGTTCCTTTCCTCATGGATTTATCACCTCCTGAAATCCCAGGTGTCCCCAGGGTGAGATCCTGCCTGGGGATGGGTTTGCTCCTGCTCCAGCTCTGGTTTCCAGTCACACCCAGCGGGATCTGGGGGCATGCTGAGGGTTGGAGAAGTCCAGAACCTCCCTGCTGGGAGGACACCAGGGCTGCAGCCATCCTGGAGCTCCAAACGCCATCGCTCCCTCCTGAAAAAAGCCAAAAATAATAAAAAAAAACTGGAAAAAGAGGTGGGAATCACTCCCAGCTCCTGGAACTGCCCCAAAATGGATTCCCAAGGCAGGAATTCCAGCTGGGAGCTGGAGCAGATGAGGAATCCCCAAAAAATTCCTGGAACAAGAGAGGGAAATCACTCCTGGCTCCTGGAGCTGCCCCAAAATGGATTCCCAAGGCAGGAATTCCAGCTGGAACTGGAACAGATGAGGAACCCCAAAAAAAAACACTGGAAAAAGTGATGGAAATCACTCCCGGCTCCTGGAGCAGCCCCAAAATGGATTCCCAAGGCTTGGCAGCAATTCCCAATCCAGGAATTCCAGCTGGAACTGGAGCAGGTGGCAGCTCCCAGCTGCCAAAAATCCCAAAAAAACTCCTGGAAAAAGAGGTGGAAATCCCTCCCAGCTCCTGGAGCAGCCCCAAAATCGATTCCCAGTCCAGGAATTCCAGCTGGAGCAGATGAGGAATCCCAAAAAAACTCCTGGAAAAAGAGATAGGAATCCCTCCCAGCTCCTGGAACAGCCCCAAAATCGATTCCCAGGGCAGGAATTCCAGCTGGAACTGGAGCAGGTGGCAGCTCCCAGCTGCCAAAAATCCCAAAAAATTCCTGGAAAAGAGCTGGAAATCCCTCCCAGCTCCTGGCACAGCCCCAGAACGGATTCCCAAGGCTTGGCAGCAATTCCCAGGGCAGGAATTCCAGCTGGAGCAGAGCAGGAGGAAGAGGAGCTGCAGTGGCAGCAGGGAAGGAGGGGATGGAGGAGCCACGCGCTCATTAACAAGTCCTAATTAAAACTGGGGATTGCACAATGCAGCTCCGCTCCCAGCCCTGTCCAGGGTTTATTTTGGGATCAATCCAGCTGCGATTCCCACCTGGAGGGTTTCCCCACAGCGGTGGAGCAGGGAATTGCAAATAAAGCTTTAAAAAATTATATTAAAAAAAAAAAATTAATTTTTTTTTAAATTTTACAAATAAATCTATTTTCTACATAACAAAATTAGTTTTCTCCATTAAAAATCCCATTTAAGTCCCATAAACATCAACTACATAAATAAAAAATTAATTTTTCTACACCCCTGGTGCTTCACCTGCCAGGCAGCCCTGATGACATGGGGCTAATTGTTAATCAAAATGTTAATTAAATTGTTAATTGCTGTTTGTGCAGAGTTCTGCTGATGTCACCTGCCCTGGCATGGCTTTGTCGCCTCCCCTTAATTGCTCAAGCCTCGTTAAAAATGAGGTTTTTTGAGATATTCCTCATTTAAAAGGAGTTTTTAGGGGATTTTCCTCACTAAAAAGGCGTTTTTATGGAATATTCCTCATTTAAAGGGAATTTTTAATGGTATTTTCCTCAGCAAAAAGGAATTTTTATGGACTATTCCTCATTAAAAAGGAGATTTCTTTGGGATATTCCTTGTTAAAAAGGAGATTTTAGGGGATACTCCTCAGTAAAAATGAGGTTTTTTGGAATATTCCTCATTTTAAGTGAGTTTTTATGGGATATTCATCAGAAAAAAAACCGAGTTTTTTTGGGATATTTCTCATTTAAAAGCAGCTTTTATGGGATATTCCTCGTTTAAAAAGGAGTTTTTAGGGGATATTCCTCGTTAAAAAGAAGGTTTTGTGGGATATTCCTCAGAAAAAAACGAGGTTTTAGGGGATATTCCTCCTTAAAAAGGAGTTTTTATGGAATATTCCTCATTTAAAAATAATTTTAATGGGATTTTCCTCAGTAAAAAGGAGTTTTTAGGGGCTATTCCTCATTAAAAAGGAGTTTTTATGGGATATTCCTCGTTAAAAATGAACTTTTAGGGGACATTCCTGGTTAAGAAGTTTTTAGGGGCTATTCCTCATTAAAAAGGAGTTTTTATGGGATATCCCTTGTTAAAAATGAATTTTTAAGGGATATTCCTGGTTAAGAAGGAGTTTTTAGGGGCTATTCCTCATTAAAAAGGAGTTTTTATGGGATATTCCTCGTTAAAAATGAACTTTTAGGGGACATTCCTGGTTAAGAAGTTTTTAGGGGATATTCCTCGTTAAAAAGGAGTTTTTATGGAATATTCCTCATTTAAAAATAATTTTAATGGGATTTTCCTCAGTAAAAAGGAGTTTTTAGGGGCTATTCCTCATTAAAAAGGAGTTTTTATGGGATATTCCTCGTTAAAAATGAACTTTTAGGGGACATTCCTGGTTAAGAAGGAGTTTTTAGGGGCTATTCCTCATTAAAAAGGAGTTTTTATGGGATATCCCTTGTTAAAAATGAATTTTTAAGGGATATTCCTGGTTAAGAAGGAGTTTTTAGGGGCTATTCCTCATTAAAAAGGAGTTTTTATGGGATATCCCTTGTTAAAAATGAATTTTTAAGGGATATTCCTGGTTAAGAAGGAGTTGGCGTATCCGGATCATCCTCCCCGCTGGGGCCGTGGGGCGATCGCGACATTTTCTCGCTTTTATGTCGCGACAGAGATCGTGCTCGGGGCCCTCCGTCCCTCCCCTCACAGTTCCCTCCCTCCGTCCCTCCCTCCCCTCACGGTTCCCGCCCTCCGTCCCTCCCTCCCCTCACGGTTCCCGCCACGGCGCTCGCGGCCCCGGAAGCGGAACCCGCGCGGGCCCCGGAAGCGCCGCCGCTCCTTCCCGGCCGCGCCGCCATCTTGGCTGGAGCCGTGAGGGAGCCGCGGCCGTCGCTGCCCGCCCCGCCCGCTCCGCCGCCATCGCGGCCCGGCCGCCGCTCCCCGCCTGCCTCCCTCCCTCGGCCGCGGGCAGGAGGGGCCGCCCGGGGCCTGTTTGGGATCAATCCAGCTGCGATTCCCACCTGGAGGGTTTCCCCACAGCGGTGGAGCAGGGAATTGCAAATAAAGCTTTAAAAAATTATATTAAAAAAAAAATTAATTTTTTTAAACTTTATTTGAAAATAAATCTATTTTCTACATAACAAAATTAGTTTTCTCCATTAAAAATCCCATTTAAGTCCCATAAACATCAACTACATAAATAAAAAATTAATTTTTCTACACCCCTGGTGCTTCACCTGCCAGGCAGCCCTGATGACATGGGGCTAATTGTTAATCAAAATGTTAATTAAATTGTTAATTGCTGTTTGTGCAGAGTTCTGCTGATGTCACCTGCCCTGGCATGGCTTTGTCGCCTCCCCTTAATTGCTCAAGCCTCGTTAAAAATGAGGTTTTTTGAGATATTCCTCATTTAAAAGGAGTTTTTAGGGGATTTTCCTCACTAAAAAGGCGTTTTTATGGAATATTCCTCATTTAAAGGGAATTTTTAATGGTATTTTCCTCAGCAAAAAGGAATTTTTATGGACTATTCCTCATTAAAAAGGAGATTTCTTTGGGATATTCCTTGTTAAAAAGGAGATTTTAGGGGATACTCCTCAGCAAAAATGAGGTTTTTTGGAATATTCCTAATTTTAAATGAGTTTTTATGGGATATTCATCAGAAAAAAAACCGAGTTTTTTTGGGATATTCCTCATTTAAAAGCAGCTTTTATGGGATATTCCTCGTTTAAAAAGGAGTTTTTAGGGGATATTCCTCGTTAAAAAGGTTTTGTGGGATATTCCTCAGAAAAAAACGAGGTTTTAGGGGATATTCCTCGTTAAAAAGGAGTTTTTATGGAATATTCCTCATTTAAAAATAATTTTAATGGGATTTTCCTCAGTAAAAAGGAGTTTTTAGGGGCTATTCCTCATTAAAAAGGAGTTTTTATGGGATATTCCTCGTTAAAAATGAACTTTTAGGGGACATTCCTGGTTAAGAAGGAGTTTTTAGGGGCTATTCCTCATTTAAAAGGAGTTTTTATGGGATATCCCTTGTTAAAAATGAATTTTTAAGGGATATTCCTGGTTAAGAAGGAGTTTTTAGGGGCTATTCCTCATTAAAAAGGAGTTTTTATGGGATACCCCTTGTTAAAAATGAATTTTTAAGGGATATTCCTGGTTAAGAAGGAGTTGGCGTATCCGGATCATCCTCCCCGCTGGGGCCGTGGGGCGATCGCGACATTTTCTCGCTTTTATGTCGCGACAGAGATCGTGCTCGGGGCCCTCCGTCCCTCCCCTCACAGTTCCCTCCCTCCGTCCCTCCCTCCCCTCACGGTTCCCGCCCTCCGTCCGTCCCTCCCTCCCTCCCCTCACGGTTCCCGCCCTCCGTCCCTCCCTCCCCTCACGGTTCCCGCCACGGCGCTCGCGGCCCCGGAAGCGGAACCCGCGCGGGCCCCGGAAGCGCCGCCGCTCCTTCCCGGCCGCGCCGCCATCTTGGCTGGAGCCGTGAGGGAGCCGCGGCCGTCGCTGCCCGCCCCGCCCGCTCCGCCGCCATCGCGGCCCGGCCGCCGCTCCCCGCCTGCCTCCCTCCCTCGGCCGCGGGCAGGAGGGGCCGCCCGGGGCCTGGCGGCCGCGGAGAGGTGAGCGGGGCTGGGAGGGACGGGCGGGCTGCCTTCCTGCCTCACCGCCTGTCTGCCGTTCTCCTTCTCCCTCCCTACTTTTCCTATCTCCCTCTGTTTCTCTCTCGCTCTCCTTCTTCCCTCCCTTTCCTTCTCTTTCAGTCCCTCCTTTCCTTTTCCTTCCTGTCTCACCCCACCTCTGGCGTTCTCCTTCTCCCTCCGTTTTCCTCTCTCTTTCCTTCCCTTTTCCACCTTTCCCTTCTCTTTCAGTCCCTCCTTCCCTCGGCTGCTTTCCTGTCTCCCCTCCCTCTTTGCTGTTCTCCTTCTCTCTTCCTCCTTTCCCCATTTCCCTCTGTTTCTCCTTTGTCCCTCATTTCTCCCTCTCCTGTTTCTCCCTTTCCTTCCCTCCCTCCTTTTCCACCTTTCCCCTCTCTCTCAGTCTCTTCTTTTCATTTCCCTTTTCTTTTTAGTCTCTCTCTCTTTACCTCTCCCTTTTCCCCCTTTTCTTCCCCTTTTTTCCTTATTTTTCTCCTCTCCCTTTCAGTCCCTCCCTCCTCTTTCCCTTTTCCCCTCCCTCTCCATTTCCTCTTTTCCTCCTCTCCCTTTTATTCCCCCTTTTTCTCCCCTTTGTCCCTCCTTTTTCCTCTCTTTTTTCCCCCCTTTTCTCCCCCTTTTCCCATGGTTCTCGCTCCTTAAAATTTCAAATAATCGAAATTAAATCCAAATCATTGAATTTCTATCTCAAATACAACCCATAAAATGAAATCCCCATGGATTTTATTATTAAGGTTTTCCATGATTCTTGCTCCTTAAATATCAAAATAATTCAATTTACATCTTACATGCAGCTCATAAAGTGGATTTTACAAAGACCTGGAGGAAGGTTCTGTGAAGCTCTGTGCTTACTGAGGTTGCAGTAATGAGTTTTAAGGAATGAATTAAATTGTAATTACGGGGTTTTTTAATCAGATGAGCAGCAGCAGCAATAAGAGGGCCCCCACCACAGCCACGCAGAGGCTGAAGCAGGATTACCTGAGGATCAAAAAGGATCCAGTGCCTTACATCTGTGCTGAGCCCCTGCCCTCCAACATCCTGGAATGGTGGGAAATGGGAATTGGGGATGGGGAATGGGAATGGGGGATGGGGAATGGAAATTGGGGATGTGGATTAGGGTAGGAATTGAAGATGGGGTTGGGAATGGGGGTGGGAGTTTGGGATGGGAATGGGGATTGGAGGTGGAGAATTGGGATGGAAACTGGGGAGGGAATGTGGGTGGGAGCTGGGGATGGAGAATTGGGGTGGGAATTGGAATTGGGGTGAGAATTGTGGAATTGGGGATGGAGGTGGAGAATTCAGATGGGACTTGGGGATGGGAATTGGGGATGATTGTTTTTCATTCCTGGAAACTGGAATTGGGGATGGGAATTGGGAGCTGGGGTGGATTGTCCCTCACCCCTGGGAATTGGGTTGGGAGTTGGGGTGCACTGTCCCTCTCTCCTGGAGAAGGTTTCCCAGGCTGTCAGGTCTCCTGGTTGAGGGGGAAGTTTTCCCTGAGGCTGATCCTGATTTTTTGGGGTATTTGTGGTTTCCCAGTGTTGCATTCCCCTCTTTTGCAGGCACTACGTGGTTCGAGGGCCTGAGCTGACCCCATATGAAGGTAAATCCCTGCCTGGGGGTTTGCATGGGAATTCAGGAATTCCAGGGGGTGGGAAAAGGGAAAGTAATCCCACTAAAAACAGCTCCAAAACCTGGGAAAGAGGTGAAGAGAGAGGGATGCTGCTGTCAATCATTCTCTTATCAAGAGTGGGAATTATTTATTAAATATAATTCAATATGTATTTATTAAATAAAATTTATTTAACATGTTTTGGAGTAGTTTAGGAGAAGGAACAAAGCAGGCTAATTAGGGATGGGAATTTGAATTGGAGTGGGAATTATTAATTAAATATAATTTCTTTAACCCATTTAGGTGGTTTAGAAGAAGGAATAAAGCAGGGAAATTGAGGATGGGATTTTTTTATTAAATACAACTCATCTAACCCATTTTTGGCTGGTTTGCAGGTGGATATTACCACGGAAAGCTAATATTCCCTCGAGAATTCCCTTTCAAACCCCCCAGTATTTATATGATCACCCCCAATGGAAGGTTCAAGTGCAACACAAGGTAATGTTCCAGCCATTCCCATCCCAAATCCCAGACCCCTTCCCATTATCCCAGCCATTTCCATCCCAAATCCAGGACCCCTTCCCATTATTTCAGCCATTCCATCCCAAATCCAGGACCCCTTCCCCCCGTTGCAGCCATTCCCATCCCAGCTGTGTCCCGTCCCAAATCCAGGACTGCTTCCCAATGTTCCAGCCATTCCCATCCCAAATCCAGGGCCCCTTCCCATTATTCCAGCCATTTCCATCCCAAATCCAGGACTCCTTCCCAGCATTCCAGCCATTCCCATCCCAAATCCAAGACTCCTTCCCATTATCCCAGCCACTCCCATTCCAAATCCAGGACTCCTTCCCAGCATTCCAACCATTCCCATCCCAACTATTCCCATCCCAAATCCCGGACCCCTTCCCATCCTCCCAGCCATTCCCAGTTCCCCATTGCTGTTTCTCCTGCTCTGGAAGGTTGTGTCTGTCCATCACGGATTTCCACCCGGACACCTGGAACCCGGCGTGGTCGGTGTCCACCATCCTGACGGGGCTGCTGAGCTTCATGGTGGAGAAGGGGCCCACCCTGGGCAGCATCGAGACCTCCGAGTTCACCGTGAGTGCTGGGAGAGCCTGGGCAAATCCAGGGAAACCCCACACATCCCCGGGGTACAGCCTGGGTCCTTTGTTTTCCTTGACCTTGATCCCCCAGGATCAAAAATGAACATAATTCTTGTCTATAAACATTAGTCTCAGTGAAAAATCCTCAATTTTAAGAGCTACGGACTACTTGGGAAGCGTTGGGAATTTAGGATATCTCAGGGACAAAGCCTGGTTGATTCCTTTTTTTTCCTTGACCTTGATCCCACAGGATCAAAAATGAACATAATTCCTGTATATAAACATTAATCTCTGTGAAAAATACTCAATTTTAAGAGCTACGGACTACTTGGGAAGCTTTGGGAATTCGGGAAGCTTTGGGGATTTGGGAAGCTTTGGAATTCGGGAAGCTTTGGGAATTTAGGATATCTCAGGGACAAAGCCTGGCTGGGATTTGATTCCTTTTTTTTCCTTGACCTTGATCCCACAGGATCAAAAATTAACATAATTTGTGTCTACAAACATTCATCTCAGTGAAAAATACTCAATTTTTAAGAGCTGCAGACCACTTGGGAAGCTTTGGGAATTTGGGATGTCTCGGGGATAAAGCCTGGCTGGGATTTGGTTCCTTTCTTTTCCTTGACTGTGATCACACAGGTTCAACAAAACATCAATTTTAGTGAAAAATTCTTCACAAATTTGATGTTTTAAGTGTTAGAAACCATTTGGGGGGCTTTGGGAATTTGGAAAGCTTTGGGAATTTAGGATATCTCAGGGACAAAGCCTGGCTGGGATTTGATTCCTTTTTTTTCCTTGACCTTGATCCCACAGGATCAAAAATTAACATAATTTGTGTCTATAAACATTCATCTCAGTGAAAAATAATCTTGTTTTTCCTCCCCAGAAAAGGCAGCTGGCTGCACAGAGCTTAGCATTTAATTTAAAAGACAAAGTCTTCTGTGAGCTCTTCCCTGAAGTGGTGGAGGTAAGGAAACCTTCATTAATTATTCATTTTTCATCTCCAGACCTCCCTCTCTGCCTCTCCCCAAATTCCACTCTCCCATGCAGGAAATCAAACAAAAACACACCCAAATCACCACAATTCCACTTTCCCACTGAATTTCCTCTCCCCTTTTGCAGGAAATGAAGCAAAAGCAGAAAGCACAAGACGAGCTGAGCTCCAGACCCCCCTCCCTGCCCCTCCCCAAATTTCACTTTCCCATGCAGGAAACCAAACAAAACCACCCAAATCCCCACAAATTCCACCTGTCCACTGAATTTCCTCTCCCCTTTTCCAGGAAATGAGGCAAGAACACCCAGAACACCCCAATTTCCTCTCCCTTTTTGCAGGAAATGAGACAAAAACACCCAAATCACCCCAATTTCCTCTCCCCTTTTGCAGGAAATGAAGCAAAAGCAGAAGGCACAAGACGAGCTGAGCTCCAGACCCCCCTCACTGCCCCTCCCCAAATTCCACTCTCCCATGCAGAAAACCGACCAAAACCACCCAAATCACCCCGAATTCCATTGAATTTTTTGTTCCCCCATGCAGGAACTCAACCAAAAGCCCCCAAATCACCCCAATTTCCCTTCTCACCACTCAATCCTCTCTCCTTTTGCAGGAAATGAAGCAAAAGCAGAAAGCACAAGACGAGCTGAGCTCCAGACCCCCCTCCCTGCCCCTCCCCGACGTGGTGCCGGACGGGGACGCGCACTTCGGGCACAACGGGCACCCCCTGCTCCACGGGCACGTGGCCCTGGCGCCCGGGCACGCCGGGGGGCTGCAGCAGCCCCCCAGGAACCACGGACTCTTGGGGGGAGCCCTGGCGAACTTGTTTGTCATCGTGGGCTTCGCCGCCTTCGCCTACACAGTCAAGTACGTGCTGAGGAGCATAGCCCAGGAGTGAAATCCTGCCAAGACCAAATTTTAGTGGGGTTTTGGGGTGATCGGGGCTCTTTGGGGGGAATTTTGGGGTTTGGCCCTGCCTGGGTCATGGTGGGGCTGGGGGAACCTTTTTGGTTTGTAGAGTTCTCCTCCATCTGTGGTTTGAACAGTGAAGATCTTCAGCAAATTTTTATTCGGTTGAGTTTTTCATTCAGGATGATGGGACTCTTTGGAATGGGACATTTTGGAATGGGACTCTTTGGAATGGGACATTTTGGGTGGAAAATTTGGAGGTTTTGTCCTGCCTGGCTCGTGGTGGGACTTGGTGGGACACGTTGATTTGTAGTTCTTCTCCATCTGTGCTTTGAACATTGAAGATCTTCATCAAATTTTGACTCCGTTGAGTTTTCAGTTCAGGATGAGTGGGACCCTTTGGAGTGGGACTGTTTGGGTGGAAAATTTGGGATTTTTTGCCCTTCCTGGGTCATGTTGGAATTTTGGGTTGGGAAGTCAAAGCATTGTGGGGGAGCCACGTTGATCTGTAGAGTTCTCCTTGATCTGTGCTTTGAACATTGAAGATCTTCAGCAAATTTTGACTCTGTTGAGTTTTCAATTCAGGATGAGTGGGACTTTTAGGAATGGGACTGTTTGGGTGGAAAATTTGGGATTTTTTGCCCTTCCTGGGTTCTGGTGGGGTTTTGGGTTCAGGAGCCAAAAAATTGTTGGTGACTCACTTCGATTGTTGAGTTCTCCTCCATCTGTGCTTTGAACATTGAAGATCTTCAGCAGATCTTTCTTCTGTTGAGTTTTCATTCAGGATGGGTGGGACCCTTCGGAATGGGACTCTTGGGGTGGAAATTTTGGGATTTTTTGCCCTTCCTGGGTTCTGGTGGGGTTTTGGGTTTTGCTGCTGGTGAGAAGTCAAATCTGTTGGTTTTATTGTCCCAAAAATGGGGGTTTGTGTCCCAAAAATAGGTTTCATTGTCCCAAATTTCAGCATTTTGGGCTCTGGATGGAGGGAACAGCACAATTCCAATTTTGGGGTGGGAATAACAAAGGAGCTCCTGCAGAGCAGCTGGGTCAGAGGTAAAACCCCAAATTTGGCTCCATTTACTTCAAGTTTTGCTTCAATTCTTTCTAAAAAACCCCAAAATTCCTTTGGGATTCAGGAAATATTTCACCCCCTTAACCCCAAATCCCAACCCCAAAATTCCTTTGGGATTTTTTGAGGCAAAATCCCAAATTTGGTTCCATTTACTTCAAGTTTTGCTTCGATTCTTTTTAAAAAACCCCAAAATTCCTTTGGAATTCCAGAAATATTTTGCCCCAAATCCCAAAATTCTTTTGGGATTCCTCTGCTGAACTAAAACCTGAAATTTTATTCAATTCTTTAAAACCAACCCCTTTTTTTTTGTTGTTTTTCCCTAAAAATTTGTTGCATTTAAACCCCAAAATTCCAATTCTTTGGAATTCCCTGGATTTGGAGGAAGATTTGTGGGATCCCTGTGGATTCCAGGATTTGGGAATTTTTATTCCCATTTTTTTGGGGTTGTTTGGTGTTTTCCTGGGAATTCAGCTTTTCCTTTTCCCCCCAGAAAAATGAAATTTCAACCTCTCCCTCAGGATAAAATCTTGGAATAAATCCTTGAAATCCCAGGCTGCAATTCCATGGATTTAAAAGTTTGGGAATTTCTCCACAGATTCTTCATTTTTAATAAAAAATCCTGGATTTTTTTTTGGGGATTTTTCCCCTTTTTCCTGAAGATTCCAAGCTCAGAGGAGTGGAAGGGCTGCGTTGTAAAGTGATTTATTCATAATAAAAATCCCTTAAAAATCGACTTTGTGGGGCTTTTTTTGGGAATAAAATTCCATGGGGGAAAACCCGGGATTGGGAATATTTCAGTTCATAAATAAAATGATGAAAAATATTCATTTTTCCTGATTTTTTTCCCTTTTTCCAGTCGGATTTTCCAGCTTCCCTTGGATGTCTCAGTGTCTTTCCTTCAGCATTCCCAATTCCAATAATTCCTTGAAATTTTGGGATATCTCTGGAGCCTTCCTGCTGATAATTATTCATTTTAATTAATATTAAATCATAAATTACAATATTATACACTAGAAATATAATTTTATATAATTGTAGTAGATATTATTTCTTTATAAATACAATTTATAAAGTATTAATGATATTTTAAAAGTATTAATGATATTTTAATTTTACTTTTAATTTATAATTACAGGTGATTAATGATTAATTAATCAGGGAGATCGATCCTGCCATTTTCATGGGAAAAATTTGGATTTTTAAAGGAGGAAAATCCAATTTCCAGCAGAAAAATCCCCCAAAAAAAAGGAATTAATTCCATAAAAACTCTGGATTTTTTTCCCAGGAATGAGGACGGCTCATTAGGATTAATTAGGAATTCTTAATTAGCGCTGGGAGCTTTGCCCTGCCGGGTTGTTTTCCTTTTGGAGAGGGAGAAATTTGGGAATTTTTTCCCATTTTTCCGGGAATTTGGGGTTTTTTTGGGATCGGCCACGAGGTGGCGCCGCGGGGTCGGGAATTGGGGCTGGGGCGGGGATTTGGGGAATCCTGAGCGGGGGCGATCCCAAATCCCAAAAATCCCAAATCCCAGAGATCTCAAATCCCAAATCCCACCCTGGGATTAGGGAATCGAGCTGGGAATGATCCCAAATCCCAGAGATCCCAAATCCCAAAATTCCACCTGGGATTTGAGGAATCCTCAGCTGGGAACGATCCCAAATCCCAAAAATCCTCAAATCCCAGAAACCCCCAAATCCCACCCTGGGATTTAGGGAATCCTGAGCTGGGAACGATCCCAAATCCCAAAAATCCTCAAATCCCAGAAACCCCCAAATCCCACCCCGGGGGCGCCGCTGGGAATGTGGGAATTCCCTGGGGAGCCTTTTTATGGGACCGAAATTGGGAAAATGATTTTTGGGATGATCCCAGAGATTTGGGGATTTTTAGGGGGGGTGAGGGGATTTTTGGGATTTTCTCAGAAATTGGGAAAAGGTTTTCTGGGATGATCCCAAATTTGAGAAAAGGTTTTTTGGGATGATCTCTAAGTCCTCCAAAAAGGATTTCTGGGATAACCCTGAAATTGGGGAAAGGATTTCTGGGATGACCCCAAAACTGGGAAAGGGATTTCTGGGATTTTCCCAAAATCAGGAAAGGGATTTTTGGGATTTCCCCGCCCCCTCTGGGCTGGATTTTCCCAGTCTGAGGCTCTGGGAATTCACCCGGCCCTGGGAGTGCCGGGGAAGTTAAAAATGATCAACAAATCCCAAAAATGAGCAGCAAACCCCAAAAATGAGCAACAAACCCCAAAAATGAGCAGCAAATCCCAAAAATGAGCAGCAAATCCCAAAAATGAGCAACAAATCCCGCCTGGAATGTGCCGGGCCGGAGCCGCTCTTGACTCCTGCCCTGCTGGGATTCCAGCGGGATTTTCCCCTTCCCAAATTCCAAGTTTTTCCATTTTTTCCCATTCCCAAAATCCAATTTTTTCCATTTTTCCCATTCCTAAATTCCAGCTTTTTCCATTTTTTCCTGTTCCCAAATTCCTGTTTTATCCCGTTCCCAAATTCCAGGCTTTCTCCTTTTTTCCCATTCCCAAATTCCAGCTTTTTCCATTTTTTCCCCATTCCCAAATTTCAATTTTTTCCATTTTCCCCATTCCCACATTGTAGGTTTCCCCTTTTTTCCCCTTCCCAAATTCCAGTTTTTCCCATTTTTCCCATTCCCAAATTCCAGTTTTTTCTTGTTCCCAAATTCCAGCTTTTTCCATTTTTTCCCATTCCCAAATTCCACGTTTTTCCGGTAGTGTTGCCAAAAAAACAAAAAAAAAATATTGATTTTTCTGGATTTTGGGTTGGGATTGTTCCGTGCCTCAGTTTCCCCAAGATCCCGATCCCTAAAATTTTCCTCCCAATCCCTAAAATTTTCCTCCCAATCAATAAATTTTTCTTCCTTCCACAAAAGTGGGAAATAAAGCGGGAATTCTGCTCTGGGGTTTACCCCAAGGCAGGGATTGCCAGCCCTGCCAGGTGCTCCAAATTCCAAAAAATACCCCTGATTTCCCTGGGATAAATCCCAAAAAAACCTGATTTTCCTGGGATAAAACTCCAACCCCCCTGAATTTTCCTACCATAAATCCCCCCAAAAATCTGATTTTCCTGGGATAAAATCTCCCCAAAAATCTGATTTTCCTGAGAAAAAATCCCCAGAAAATCTGATTTTCCTGGGATAAAAACCCCAACTCCCCCTGGATTTTCATGGGATAAATCCCCCAAAAATCTGATTTTCCTGGGATAAATCCCAATAAACCCCTGATTTTCCTGAGATAAAATCCCAATAAACCCCTGATTTTCCTGGGATAAATCCCAATAAACCCCTGATTTTCCTGGGATAAAACCCCATAAAACCCCCGATTTTCCTGGGATAAATCCCAATAAACCCCTGATTTTCCTGGGATAAATCCCAAAAAAACCCTGATTTTCCTGGCATAAATCCCAAAACCCTCTGTTTCCCCGGGCAGCTCCCTCCGCTGGGAATTCCGCGGGCCCGCCTGCAGCTCCTCCTTTTTTCCCTTTTTTTTTTTCCCTGTTTTTTTTTTTCCTCCTCCTTTTCTTGGAGTTGATGGAAACTCCTCCGGGAAACCGCAGGAGCCGGAGCCGCGGCAGGAGCCGCGATTCCAGCGGGAATTCCAGCGGGAATTTGGGATTTGGGATGGGGAATCCGCGCCCTCCCGCCCCGTGACAGCGCCGGGATTTGGGGTTTTTGTTTTTTAGGGCAGCTCCCTCCGCTGGGAATTCCGCGGGCCCGCCTGCAGCTCCTCCTTTTTTCCCTTTTTTTTTTTCCCTGTTTTTTTTTTTTCCTCCTCCTTTTCTTGGAGTTGATGGAAACTCCTCCGGGAAACCGCAGGAGCCGGAGCCGCGGCAGGAGCCGCGATTCCAGCGGGAATTCCAGCGGGAATTTGGGATTTGGGATGGGGAATCCGCGCCCTCCCGCCCCGTGACAGCGCCGGGATTTGGGGTTTTTGTTTTTAGGGAAAAACTGGGAAAAAAAAGGAGGAAAAATTTTGGGAAACTCCACCTGCTCCTGCCGGGCTCGGGGAGGTTTCGCTTCCCCCGCGGAGCTTTTGGGGTTTGGGATTTGTTTTTTTTGGGGTGTGAAGGATTTGGGATCTGGGGTTTGGGATTTGTTTTTTGGGGGGTGAAGGATTTGGGGTTTGGTTTTTTGGATTTGTTTTTTGGGATTTGTTTTTTTGGGCTGTGGAGGATTTGGGATTTGGGGTTTGGGATTTGGTTTTTGGGATTTGGGGTTTGGGGTGTGAAGGATTTGGGGATTTGGGGTTTGGTTTTTTGGATTTCTTTTCTGGAATTTGTGGTTTTTTTGGGGTGTGAAGGATTTGGGGATTTAGGGTTTGGGATTTGTTTTTTGAGGTTTGGTTTTTTGGATTTCTTTTTTGGGATTTGTTTTTTTGGGCTGGGGAGGATTTGGGATTTGGTTTTGGGGTTTGAGATTTGAGTTTTGGGGTTTGGGATTTGGTTTTGGTGTTTGGTCCTCCGGGAAACCGCAGGAGCCGGAGCCGCGGCAGGAGCCGCGATTCCAGCGGGAATTCCAGCGGGAATTTGGGATTTGGGATGGGGAATCCGCGCCCTCCCGCCCCGTGACAGCGCCGGGATTTGGGGTTTTTGTTTTTAGGGAAAAACTGGGAAAAAAAAGGAGGAAAAATTTTGGGAAACTCCACCTGCTCCTGCCGGGCTCGGGGAGGTTTCGCTTCCCCCGCGGAGCTTTTGGGGTTTGGGATTTGTTTTTTTTGGGGTGTGAAGGATTTGGGATCTGGGGTTTGGGATTTGTTTTTTGGGGGGTGAAGGATTTGGGGTTTGGTTTTTGGGATTTGTTTTTTGGGATTTGTTTTTTTGGGCTGTGGAGGATTTGGGATTTGGGGTTTGGGATTTGGTTTTTGGGATTTGGGGTTTGGGGTGTGAAGGATTTGGGGATTTGGGGTTTGGTTTTTTGGATTTCTTTTCTGGAATTTGTGGTTTTTTTGGGGTGTGAAGGATTTGGGGATTTGGGGTTTGGGATTTGTTTTTTGGGGTTTGGTTTTTTGGATTTGTTTTTTGGGATTTGTTTTTTTTGGGCTGGGGAGGATTTGGGATTTGGTTTTGGGGTTTGAGATTTGAGTTTTGGGGTTTGGGATTTGGTTTTGGTGTTTGGGTTTTGGAAATTTTTTGGGGAGTTTGGGATGTGAGAGATTTGGGGTTTGGGTTTTGGAATTTGTGTTTATGGATTCGGGTTTTTTGGGTGTGAGAGGTTTGGGATTTGTTTTTAGGGATTTGTTTTTTGGAGTGTGAGGGGTTTTGGGGTTTAGGGTTTGGGATTTGTTGTTGGGGTTTGGTTTTTGGGGTTTGGTTTTTGGGATGTAAGGATTTTGGGATTTGTTTTTTGGGGTGTGAGGGATTTGAGTTTTGGGGTTTGTTTCTTGGGGTTTGCTTTTTTGGGATGTAAGGAATTTGGGGTTTGGGATTTGGTTTTTTGGGATTTGTTTTTTGGGATGTCAGGGATTTCAGTTTTGGGATTTGTTTTTTGGGGCATGACAGTTGTTTTTTGGGATTTGTTTCCTGGGGTGTGAGGAATTCTTTTGGGGTGTGGGGGATCATTTTGGGATGTGAGGGATCTGTTTTTTGGGGGTGTGGGGGATTTTTTTGGGATGTGAAGGATCTGTTTTTTGGGATCTATTTTTTGGGATCTGTTTTTTGGGGTGTGAGGATTTTTTGGGGTGTGAGGCTGGGTTTTATCCTTCCAAGGCCGAGCCGGGATGGCGGCGATTCCCCGGATTCCGTTCCCTGCAATGCCGAGGGAAGTTCGAGGATTTCTCCCGGGAACGGACGGGTCGGATTCTGGGCTCTGAGCCCAGCCTGGCTAAGCTCCGCCTGAGCCCGGGCTCAGCTCTGCCCTGCAGCTTCCAGCACCTTTAAAACCAGTTTTAAACCCCGTCTGGTGGGGCTGAGAGCCTTTAAAACCAGTTTCAAACCCCATTTGGGGGGCAGAGTAAAACCAGTTTTAATCTGGATTTGGGGTCAGAAGGGGCTGACTAAAACCGGTTTCAAACTGGATTAAGGGGGTCAGAAGGGGCTGACTAAAACCAGTTTCAAACCCCCTTTGTGGGTGCTCAGTGCCTTTAAAACCAGTTTCAAGCCCAGTATAGGAGGCAGAGTGAAACCGGTTTTAAATCTGATTTTGGGGGAGCAGAGGGGACAGAGTAAAACCAGTTTCAAATCGGATTAAGGGGGTCAGAAGGGGCACAGTAAAACCAGTTTTAGGCCGGATTAAGGGGGTCAGAAGGGGCACAGTAAAACCAGTTTTAGGCCGGATTAAGGGGGTCAGAAGGGGCACAGTAAAACCAGTTTCAAGCCCCATTTGGGGTGCAGAGTAAAACCAGTTTTAATCTGGATTTTGGGGGCACTGAGTGCCTTTAAAACCAGTTTTAGGCCGGATTTAGGACAGAGCAGCCCCTCGCCTCTGGGATTTCTGGGAAGCTCCCACGGGCTCAGCTCCATCTCCTGAGGATCCAGAATTCCAAACAAATTCCAAACAAATTCATCTCCAGCTTTTCCATCCCGAGGAGCTGCTTGGAACCTTCTGGAATTCGGATTTTTTTGGACACAAATCCAGGGTTTTTTTGGTCCTGAAGGATTTTGCACCTGGCTGCTTGGATCCTCCTGAAAAATTTGGATTTTTTTGGACATAAATCCGGTTGGATCCTCCTGAAATTTGGATTTTTTTGGACACAAATCCGGTTGGATCCTCCTGAAATTTGGATTTTTTTGGACACAAATCCGGTTGGATCCTCCTGAAATTTGGATTTTTTGGAGACAAATCTGCTTGGATCCTCACCTGCTTAATTCTGGATTTATTTTTTAGAGACAAATCTGGTGGTTTTTTTTTTTGCTCCTGAAGGATTTTACACCTTGATCCTGACCTGGTTAATTTGGATTTTTTTTGGACACAAATCTGTCTTTGTATTGCCGACTGCTTGGATCCTTCTCACCTGCTTAAGTCTGGATTTATTTTAGAGACAAATCTGGGTTTTATTAATCTTGAAGGATTTTGCACCTGGCTCCTTGATCCTGACCTGGTTAATTTGGTTTTTTATTTTTGTTGTTGTTTTTTATTGGTACTGAAGCATTTTACCTCTGGCTTCTTAATCCTGACCTAATAAATTTGGATTTTTTTGGACACAAATCCAATTTTTTTTTGGTCCTGGATCATTTTCCTCCTGGCTCCTTGACCCTGACCTGGTTAATTTGGATTTTTTTGGACACAAATTGGATTTTCCTGGCTGCCACCATGCCGGGCTGGTGGCTGCTGCTGGCTCTGCTGTGCCACCAGCTGTGTCCCCGCGCGGTGACCGCGGCCAGGAAGGACAGGAGGGGCAGGAAGGAGCACCCAGAGCCCCTGAACGCCTCCCTGGCCAACAGCGAGGAGCAGCCCAAGGTGGGTTTGGGACATTCCTGGAGTTATCCTGGAGTTATTGGGATTTTCCTGCCTTTTCCCAGCTTAATTTCATCAATTCCCTTAGATTTTTATGTTTAATTTTGATGGTTCCTCCTGTTGGGATCAGCTGAGAACTCCCAAGGTGGGTTCTGGGATCATTCCCAGGTTTTTTGGGTTTTCCTGCCTTTTCCCAGCCTCATCTCATCAATTCCCTTCAATTTTTATGTTTAATTTTGATGGTTCCTCATGTTGGGATCAACTGAGAACTCCCAAGGTGGGTTCTGGGATCATTCCCAGGTTTTTTGGGTTTTCCTGCCTTTTCCCAGCCTCATCTCATCAATTCCCTTCAATTTTTATGTTTAATTTTGATGGTTCCTCAGGCTGGGATCAGCTGAGAACTCCCAAGGTGGGTTCTGGGATCATTCCTGGAGTTATTCCTGGAGTTATTGGGATTTCCTGCCTTTTCCCAGCCTCATTTCATCAATTCTCTTTGATTTTTTTATTTAATTTTCATTGTTCTCCATGTTGGGATCAACTGAGAACTCCCAAGGTGGGTTCTGGGATCATTCCTGGAGTTATTCCCAGGTTTATTGGGATTTTCCTGCCTTTTCCCAGCTTCATTTCATCAATTCCCTTCAATTTTTATGTTTAATTTTCCCTGTTCCCCAAGCTGGGAACAGCAGAGAACTCCCAAGGTGGCTTCTGGGATCGTTTCCAGAATGATCCATTTTTCTGTCCTCTGAGCATCTGGGTGGGTTTTCCGTGGAATCTCAGGGGATTATCAGGGAATGGGAGTCCCAGCAGTTGGAAAAAGGTCTCTGAGGGACTTTTGGAGCTCTTGGCTCCTCCTGATCCCTCAGTGTCCTCCCAAAAGCAGCCTGGGCTGGATTTTTGCATCCTTGAACATCTGGGTGGGTTTTCCATGGAATTTAAAGGTCTCTGAGGGACTTTTGGAGCTCTTGGCTCCTCCTGATCCCTCAAGGATGCCCTCAGTGTCCTCCAAGGGCAGCAGGAACAGCCATGGCTGGGTTTTTCCACCCTATGACCATCTGGGTGGGTTTTCCATGGAATTTAAAGGTCTCTGAGGGACTTTTGGAGCTCTTGGCTCCTCCTGATCCCTCAAGGATGCCCTCAGTGTCCTCCAAGGGCAGCAGGAACAGCCATGGCTGGGTTTTTCCATCTCCTGAATACCTGGGTGGATTTTTAATGGAATTTAAAGGTCTCTGAGGGACTTTTGGAGCTCTTGGCTCCTCAAGGACACCCTCAGTGTCCTCCAAGGGCAGCAGGAACAGCCATGGCTGGGTTTTCCCATCCCCTGAACATCTGGTTGAGTTTTCCATGGAATTTAAAGGTCTCTGAGGGACTTTTGGAGCTCCAGGCTGGATTTTTGGGTCCCTCTGAGGCAGTCCGTCCCTGATCCGTGTCCTGGTGTGTCCCCAGCTCCCGGAGGCCGCGGACGCGCGGATCACGGACCCCCGCAGGACCTGGATCTCCTTCGTGCACCGCCCGGACGACGGGAAAAACTCCAAGAGGAGATGCAAAGGGAAGGAAAAAAAATTGGTAAGATTTGCGCTCTACGTGCGCCACGCTTCCCTTCTTGCTGCTCATCCTTTCCCCAGCCCAAAGAGTGCTGAGTTTCCTTTTTATTTGGGTTTAATTTCTCCATTTTTGGAGAAGTTTGATCCTTCTGGCTTCGGCAGAGGACGTGTGGGAATTTTGAACCAGCCTCTCTCAAATTGAGCCTCTTTTTGGGTTATTTTCCTGTTCATTCAAAAGAAAATCCATATTTTTTTTTCTCCTTCCAAGAGATAAAGTCCAAGTATCCCAAAGGATAAATTAATCAAGGTGTGGACAAGTGGTTTATTTCAAATTAATGAGCTGAGTGACAGGTTATTAATCATGCGGCACTTCTCATCTGCTGCTTGGACAATCTTGCATTCTTTTAATTATTTTAATTATTTGAGGAGTTTTTTGCATCCTCTGAAAGTCTGGGCAGCTTTTCCATGGAATTTTAGAGGATTATCCAAGGAATGGGAGTCCCAGCAGCTGGAAAAACATCTCTGAGGGACTTTCAGAGCCCTTGGCTCCTCCTGATCCCTCAGTGTCCTCCAAAAATGATCAGGAATTTTCTGGGAACAAGCCCCCTCACGTTGCTGATGTTCCTGTAGGATTTTCTGCAATTCCCAGGTTTTGATCCCAAATTTTCCTTTGTTTGTTCCCTCAGCGAGGCCTGGTGGGGCCTCCAGGGCCTCCTGGGCCTCAGGGACCTCCAGGAGCTCCTGGGGCTGAAGTCACCAGGGAAGTTCTTCTGCAGGAGTTCAAGGAGATCTTGAAAGGTAAAAGATTTTAAAGAGTCAAAGGTTTTTAAAGGATATTCAAGTAAAGGGTATTAAAGGCTGGAGGAGCTTTGTTTTGGTGAAGAACCATGAACTGAAATGGCAACCAAAAATGTTCCCCCAGTGCTGCTGGGTGTTAATTGAAGATCCAAGTGCAGAATTCCCTTAAATTAAGATTTTATTTCCTTTTATTTCATTTTATTCCCCTTTTCCCCTCAGAAGCCATCAAGCCTGGGGCCTCCCTGGTCCTTTTGGCCCACCCCAGCCATCTGCTGCTGTCCCTGGAGGAGATTCCATTCACAGGCCACACCCTTAAATTTAGATTTTTATTTCATTTTATTCCATTTTATTCCATTTTATTGCCCTTTTCCCCTCAGAAGCCATGGAGCACAGGGCCTCCCTGACCATCTCAGCCCACCCCAGCCAGCTCCTGCTGTCCCTGGAGGAGGTTCCATCACAGGAACAGGAATGGCCAGGCCCTTAAATGAAGATTTTATTCCATTTTATTCCATTTTATTCCATTTTATTCCATTTTATTCCATTTTATTGCCCTTTTCCCCTCAGAAGCCATGGAGCACAGGGCCTCCCTGGACATCTCAGCCCATCCCAACCAGCTGCCGCTATCCCTGGAGGAGGTTCCATCACAGGAACAGGAATGGCCAGGCCCTTAAATGAAGATTTTATTCCATTTTATTCCATTTTATTCCATTTTATTGCCCTTTTTCCCTCAGAAGCCATGGAGCACAGGGCCTCCCTGGCCATCTCAGCCCACCCCAGCCAGCTCCTGCTGTCCCTGGAGGAGGTTCCATCACAAGAACAGGAATGGCCAGGCCCTTAAATGAAGATTTTATTCCATTTTATTCTATTTTATTGCCCTTTTTCCCTCAGAAGCCATGGAGCACAGGGCCTCCCTGGCCATCTCAGCCCACCCCAGCCAGCTGCCCCCGCTGCTGCTGTCCCTGGAGGAGGTCCCGTCCCAGCGGCGCGTGGAGGAGGCGTTCCACTGCAAGCTCAAGGGCCAGGTGCTGGTGGACAAGAAGACCTTGGTGGAACTCCAGAATTTCCAGTCGGTGAGGAATTCCAGACTCATCCTGCTGGGATCAGAGCCCTGAGTGGCTCTGTGGGGCTTCCTTCAACCCAGAAACTCCTCTGGGGCTGAAAGGAAGAGACAAATCCAGGAGAAGGTGTCCAAAGGAGGGCCAGAGGTGGATCCACCTGGGATCCCCTTTTTAAATCCATTATTCCTGATGGATCCCTCTTGGATCCCCTTTTTAAATTCAGTATTCTAGAGGTTCTGCCACTGATGGATCCACCTGGGATCCCCTTTTTAAATCAAATATTCCAGAGGTTCTATCCCTGATGGATCCACCTTGGATCCTCTTTTAAAATCCAATATTCGAGAGGTTCTATCCCTGATAAATCCATCTTGGAACCCCTTTTTAAATCCATTATCCCAGAGGTTCTACCACTGATGGATCCATCTTGGATCCCCTTTTTAAATCCGTTATTCCTGATGGATCCACCTGGGATCCCCTTTTTAAATCCATTATCCCAGAAGTTCTACTACTGATGTCTCCACCTTTTAAAATCAAATATCCCAGAAGTTCTGCCACTGCCACTGATGGATCCACCTTGGATCCTCTTTTAAAATCCATTATTCCACTAGTTATTTCCCAAGCTTTTGGCAGCTTGGCTTGGCAGCCAGGCAGGATCAGCCCTGAGGCATGGGCAGGGCTGGAGGGAGAGCTGCTGCCTCATTAATTAGCAGGGAAAATGGGACTAATTAAGCCATCCCAGCCGTGGGCTGCTGCTTCCTGTGCCTCAGGGATGAGGTGCCCAATTCGTTCCTGATTTTTCCTGGCTCGGAGCTGCTGTGGGAGGCTCTGGGTGCCAAGCTGGCATGGCAGCCCAGGACAAGAAGAGTCGAGTTTGGGCTTGTGCCCTCTGGGAAAGGGGAATGCAGAGCCAGAGCAGCTCAGGGATTTGGGATCAGCACAGGGATTTGGGATCAGCACAGGGATTTGGGATCAGCACAGGGATGGAGCCAGGAGCAGCTCAGGGATCGGGGATCAGCACAGGGATGGAGCCAGGAGCAGAACAGGGATGGATTTGGGATCACCACAGGGATTTGGGATCAATCCAAGGATTCGGGATCAGCCCATGGGTTTAGGAGCAGCTCAGGGATTCAGGAGCAGTTCAGGGATTTGGGATCAGCCCTGCGATTCAAGATTTGGCCTCAGCCCAGGGATTCAAGAGCAGTTCAGGGATTTGGGATCAGCCCAGGGATTCAGGATTTGGGCTCAGCCCAGGGCTGGATTTGGGCTCAGCCCAGGGCTTGGGGCTCAGCCCAGGGCTGGATTTGAGCTCAGCCCAGGGATTTGGGCTCAGCCCAGGGATTTGGGCTCAGCCCAGGGCTGCAGCTCTGTTCTCTCTCCGCAGCCCGTGGCCAAGGGCGCGTTCCTGCGGGGCTCGGGGCTGAACCTGGCCACCGGCCGCTTCACCGCCCCCGTGGGCGGCATCTACCAGTTCTCAGCCAACGTCCACATCGGTGAGTGCTGCCTCAGGGACCCCAACCCCTGGAGACCCCAACCCCTGGAGAACCTCCTGAAGAACCCCCAGAGGATGCTCTGGAGAATCCCTGGATATTCCAGAGGTTCTGCTACTAATGGCCAGTGATGGATCCCCTTTTAAAATCCGATATTCCAGAGGTTCTGCCACTGATGGATCCACCCGGGATCCCCTTTATAAATCCATTATCTCAGAGGTTCTATCCCTGATGGATCCACCCTGGTGGATCCCATTTTAAATCTGATATTGCACAGGTTCTATCCCTGATGGATCCACCCTGGTGAATTCCCTTTTAAAATCCATTATCCCACAGGTTCTATCACTGGTGAATCCACCCTGGTGGATCCCATTTTTAAATCCATTATCCCACAGGTTCTACCACTGATGGATCCACCAGGTTCTATCCCTGATGACCACTGATGGATCCACCTTGGATCCCCTTTATAAATCCATTATCTCAGAGGTTCTATCCCTGATGGATCCACCTGGGATTCCCTTTCTAAGTCCATTATCCCAAAGGTTCTACCACTGATGGATCCACCAGGTTCTATCCCTGATGACCACTGATGGATCCACCTTGGATCCGTTACCTTTGGCTCCATCAGATGTGGAGGAACCTTCTGGCACCTCCTGCAGCCATCCCAAGGCTGCTGGTGTCCCTCAGGAGCCCAGTCCCCAGATTTTGTGGGATTGCTGACGTTTTCCCCACTGTTTTTCGCAGACCACAGCGAGCTGAAGAGCAAAGTGCAGCTGCGAGCGCGGGACAGCGTGCGGGTGCTGATCTGCATCGAGTCCCTGTGCCACAGACACACGTGAGCCACTCCAGGGGCACCTGGGGCATTCTTCTCCTCTAATTTTCCACATTTCCTAACATTTCAGCCAGCTTTGGCAATTCTTTCCCTCACGTTTTACTTAGGGGGATTTTGGGAGCTTTTCCAGCAGAGGGCAAAGCTGTGGCTCTGTCTTTGGCCCCAGATCCCAAATCCCTGCCCAGGTTGATTTTAATGCCCTGCCCTGAGCTCCTCCAGAAATCCACAGACCCAGAAATCCAGAGATCCAGAAATGCATAGGTCCTGAAATTCACAGATCCAGAAATGCACAGGTCCTGAGATCCACAGATCCAGAAATCAGGATGGATTTGTGATGGATCCCAAAGAGATCAGGATGGATTTGGGGCAGCTCCCTCAGAATGGATTTGGGACAGCTCCATCAGGATGGATTTGGGACAGATTCCAGAGCAATCAGGATGGATTTGGGATGGATCCTAGAATGTTCAGGATGGATTTGGGACAGCTCCCAGGTCCCTCAGGATGGATTTGGGACAGTCCCAGATCCCTCAGGATGGATTTGGGACAGTCCCAGATCCCTCAGGATGTTTGGGCTCAGCCCAGGGATTTGGGCTCAGCCCAGGGATTTGGGCTCAGTCCAGGGATTTGGGCTCAGTCCAGGGCTTGGGGCTCAGCCCAGGGCTGGATTTGAGCTCAGCCCAGGGATTTGGGCTCAGCCCAGGGATTTGGGCTCAGCCCAGGGATTTGGGCTCAGCCCAGGGATTTGGGCTCAGCCCAGGGATTTGGGCTCAGCCCAGGGATTTGGGCTCAGTCCAGGGATTTGGGCTCAGTCCAGGGCTTGGGGCTCAGCCCAGGGCTGGATTTGAGCTCAGCCCAGGGATTTGGGCTCAGCCCAGGGATTTGGGCTCAGCCCAGGGATTTGGGCTCAGCCCAGGGATTTGGGCTCAGCCCAGGGATTTGGGCTCAGCCCAGGGATTTGGGCTCAGTCCAGGGATTTGGGCTCAGTCCAGGGCTTGGGGCTCAGCCCAGGGCTGGATTTGAGCTCAGCCCAGGGATTTGGGCTCAGCCCAGGGATTTGGGCTCAGCCCAGGGATTTGGGCTCAGCCCAGGGATTTGGGCTCAGCCCAGGGATTTGGGCTCAGCCCAGGGATTTGGGCTCAGCCCAGGGATTTGGGCTCAGCCCAGGGATTTGGGCTCAGCCCAGGGATTTGGGCTCAGCCCAGGGATTTGGGCTCAGCCCAGGGATTTGGGCTCAGCCCAGGGATTTGGGCTCAGCCCAGGGATTTGGGCTCAGTCCAGGGCTTGGGGCTCAGCCCAGGGCTGGATTTGAGCTCAGCCCAGGGATTTGGGCTCAGCCCAGGGATTTGGGCTCAGTCCAGGGCTTGGGGCTCAGCCCAGGGCTGGATTTGGGCTCAGCCCAGGGATTTGGGCTCAGCCCAGGGATTTGGGCTCAGCCCAGGGATTTGGGCTCAGCCCAGGGCTGCAGCTCTGTTCTCTCTCCGCAGCCCGTGGCCAAGGGCGCGTTCCTGCGGGGCTCGGGGCTGAACCTGGCCACCGGCCGCTTCACCGCCCCCGTGGGCGGCATCTACCAGTTCTCAGCCAACGTCCACATCGGTGAGTGCTGCCTCAGGGACCCCAACCCCTGGAGACCCCAACCCCTGGAGAACCTCCTGAAGAACCCCCAGAGGATGCTCTGGAGAATCCCTGGATATTCCAGAGGTTCTGCTACTAATGGCCAGTGATGGATCCCCTTTTAAAATCCGATATTCCAGAGGCTCTGCCACTGATGGATCCACCTGGGATCCCCTTTATAAATCCATTATCCCAGAGGTTCTACCACTGATGGATCCACCCTGGTGGATCCCATTTTAAATCTGATATTGCACAGGTTCTATCCCTGATGGATCCACCCTGGTGAATTCCCTTTTAAAATCCATTATCCCACAGGTTCTACCACTGATGGATCCACCCTGGTAGATCCCATTTTTAAATCTACTGTCCCAGAGGTTCTGTCCCTGATGGATCCACCCTGGTGGATCCCATTTTTAAATCTACTATCCCAGAGGTTCTGTCCCTGATGGATCCACCTGGGATTCCCTTTCTAAGTCCATTATCCCAAAGGTTCTACCACTGATGGATCCACCAGGTTCTATCCCTGATGACCACTGATGGATCCACCTTGGATCCGTTACCTTTGGCTCCATCAGATGTGGAGGAACCTTCTGGCACCTCCTGCAGCCATCCCAAGGCTGCTGGTGTCCCTCAGGAGCCCAGTCCCCAGATTTTGTGGGATTGCTGACGTTTTCCCCACTGTTTTTCGCAGACCACAGCGAGCTGAAGAGCAAAGTGCAGCTGCGAGCGCGGGACAGCGTGCGGGTGCTGATCTGCATCGAGTCCCTGTGCCACAGACACACGTGAGCCACTCCAGGGGCACCTGGGGCATTCTTCTCCTCTAATTTTCCACATTTCCTAACATTTCAGCCAGCTTTGGCAATTCTTTCCCTCACGTTTTCCTTAGGGGGATTTTGGGAGCTTTTCCAGCAGAGGGCAAAGCTGTGGCTCTGTCTTTGGCCCCAGATCCCAAATCCCTGCCCAGGTTGAGTTTAATGCCCTGCCCTGAGCTCCTCCAGAAATCCACAGACCCAGAAATCCAGAGATCCAGAAATGCATAGGTCCCGAAATTCACAGATCCAGAAATGCACAGGTCCTGAGATCCACAGATCCAGAAATCAGGATGGATTTGTGATGGATCCCAAAGAGATCAGGATGGATTTGGGGCAGCTCCCTCAGGATGGATTTGGGACAGCTCCATCAGGATGGATTTGGGACAGATTCCAGAGCAATCAGGATGGATTTGGGATGGATCCTAGAATGTTCAGGATGGATTTGGGACAGCTCCCAGGTCCCTCAGGATGGATTTGGGACAGAGCCCAGATCTCTCAGGATGGTTTCGATGGTTACCTCAGGATGGATTTGGAGCAGATCCCTCAGGATGGATTTGGGACAGGTCCCAGGTCCCTCAGGATGGATTTGGGACAGGTCTCTCAGGATGGGTTTGGGATAGTCCCAGATCCCTCAGGATGGATTTGGGACAGTCCCAGATCCCTCAGGATGGGTTTGGGACAGTCCCAGATCCCTCAAGATGGATTTGGGACAGTCCCAGATCCCTCAGGATGGATTTGGGACAGTCCCAGGTCCCTCAGGATGGATTTGGGACAATCCCAGTGCCAGGCTGCGTGGCTGGGACGGTCAGAGCCGGCAGCAGTGCTGGATTTCACTGGGAATTTCCATTCCCGATGGGATTTCACTGGGAATTTCCATTCCCGATGGGATTTCACTGGGAATTTCCATTCCCGATGGGATTTCACTGGGAATTTCCATTCCCGATGGGATTTCACTGGGAATTTCCATTCCCGATGGGATTTCACTGGGAATTTCCATTCCCGATGGGATTTCACTGGGAATTTCCATTCCCGATGGGATTTCACTGGGAATTTCCATTCCCGATGGGATTTCACTGGGAATTTCCATTCCCGATGGGATTTCACTGGGAATTTCCATTCCCGATGGGATTTCACTGGGAATTTCCATTCCCGATGGGATTTCACTGGGAATTTCCATTCCCGATGGGATTTCACTGGGAATTTCCATTCCCGATGGGATTTCACTGGGAATTTCCATTCCCGATGGGATTTCACTGGGAATTTCCATTCCCGATGGGATTTCACTGGGAATTTCCATTCCCGATGGGATTTCACTGGGAATTTCCATTCCCGATGGGATTTCACTGGGAATTTCCATTCCCGATGGGATTTCACTGGGAATTTCCATTCCCGATGGGATTTCACTGGGAATTTCCATTCCCGATGGGATTTCACTGGGAATTTCCATTCCCGATGGGATTTCACTGGGAATTTCCATTCCCGATGGGATTTCACTGGGAATTTCCATTCCCGATGGGATTTCACTGGGAATTTCCATTCCCGATGGGATTTCACTGGGAATTTCCATTCCCGATGGGATTTCACTGGGAATTTCCATTCCCGATGGGATTTCACTGGGAATTTCCATTCCCGATGGGATTTCACTGGGAATTTCCATTCCCGATGGGATTTCACTGGGAATTTCCATTCCCGATGGGATTTCACTGGGAATTTCCATTCCCGATGGGATTTCACTGGGAATTTCCATTCCCGATGGGATTTCACTGGGAATTTCCATTCCCGATGGGATTTCACTGGGAATTTCCATTCCCGATGGGATTTCACTGGGAATTTCCATTCCCGATGGGATTTCACTGGGAATTTCCATTCCCGATGGGATTTCACTGGGAATTTCCATTCCCAATGGGATTTCCATTCCCATTGAATTGAAATTCCATTCCCACTGGGATTTCACTGGGAATTTCCATTCCCGATGGGATTTCACTGGGAATTTCCATTCCCGATGGGATTTCACTGGGAATTTCCATTCCCGATGGGATTTCACTGGGAATTTCCATTCCCCCTTTCATTTCACTGGGAATTTCCATTCCCAATGGGATTTCACTGGGAATTTCCATTCCCAATGGGATTTCACTGGGAATTTCCATTCCCGATGGGATTTCCCACCTCCCAGGAGGGGCTCTGAAGCCACTTCACCCAACAAGGCAGGAAGGATTTTTTGGAAAAAAAACCCAAAAAAACCCACACCAAATTCCTTCCAAAGCCACAAAAATTCTTCCACTTCATCAGCTCAGCCCCAGCCTTGGGCTGAATTATATATTTTATGAATATAATTATATGTGTTATATTTTAATATATATATAATATATATAATTATATGTATATATATGGTTTTCCATAGTTTATATAGAGTTTTCCCAGTTTATTTATTCACTGTCCCTCAAACCTGGAATCCTGAACTCCTCCCCAAACCAGGAATCCCAAACTTTTCCCCAAACCAAAGAATCCTGAATTTATCCTCAAACCCAAGATCCCAAATTCTCCCTCAAACCAGGAATCCCGAACTCTTCCCCAAACCCAGGAA